CTCCTTGGTCACCCCCGCCTTTCATGGAGCGGCGCCCTCTGGGCAGCGGGCTCTCCCCAGGACAGCTGCGCTTGCGGGAACATCCTTCGCTCCCTTCTTGGTTTCCCCCGCACTACAAATCATGGCCGCCAGCCACCCCAGGGGAGCCCATCCCTCCACCCAGGGCGTTCGAGTGGAGCAGCAGGTACCCGCCGCCGGTACCCCCTTGCCCTTTGGGGCCAGAGCCTTGGCAGTCAGTCTGCACTGAGCCCAGGCCCGCCCTCCCCCCAGCCCAGTTGCTCGGCGGTCAGGACCCTTGGAGAGCTGGGGCTGCGGGGAGGGAGGGAGGGTCAGAGGCGCGACCAGAGCATGCTGTGAATTACAGGCTGCCAGAAGGGTGCGGTTTGAAGCTATTTTATTTCGCTGGGCGGGTACAGAGGCGGGGGGGGGGGGGGGGGGGAAACCTCAGGGGTAGGCCGCCATGGTCTCCTTGATCCACGGCAGGTAATCCACCACCTTGGTGTAGATGCTGGGTTTCAGGCGTTTCCCGCACGGGAAGTGGCCCCAGGACGTGATTCCTTGAAGCTCACCGTCACAGATCAGAGGGCCCCCGGAGTCGCCCTAAGACACATCCAGGAGGGTGAGACACCAGCAAGTGGGGGCCCTGTTGCAACGCCCCAGCTCTCACACCTGGGTTCACAGGTGTCCTGGTGACCCCCGCTATGGGGAGAGAGAAGACAGTTCTCTAGAGCCGATGGGCAGGAGAGGTGGGGGGATTCATCACGGGGTTCAGGACTCAGGTCCTGCGAGGGGGTGGGATTCAGGGTGCAGCCTCTGGGGGGGGCCGGTCCAGGAGGACAGAGGCGGTGAGGAGGAGGAGCCCGGCCCTCTGTGGGACCCCACGCTCAGGGCTCATCTCAGGGTCGGCTCTTCCAGAACGTTCCCTGACCCCCCAGTCAATGTGTGTGCGAGGGAGGAGGGTGAATGGTGACAGAGGAGGTAATGTGGGGTGACAGAGCTGAATGTGGGAGCTGCGAGCCAGCCAGGGGGCCCCAGGCTGCCCAGCGCCGAGCCAGGCGAAGAGAGGACGACTCACCACGCACGTGTCCTTGCCGCCGGCCAGCTCCCCGGCGCACAGCATGGTGCCGGTCACCTTCTGGAGGTGGGCCTTCTGGCAGTTCTCATTGGGCAGCAGCGTGAGGTCCACACACTGGAGGTTCTGTGGGTAGGACACTGGGCCAGGAGGACCGTGAGTGGCCGAACCACCCGGCCCCGCCCGCCACGCCTCCCGCCCCCTGCCAGCCTCCCGTAGCGCCGCCCTGCTGGCCGTCGGGCAGCGTACAGTTAGAGGGGTTGACGCTGCCCCAGCCGGACGCCCGGCAGCTGCTGCCCACGCGCGGCGCCTCTCTGGGCAGGTCCAGCACCCGCACGGCCTCCGTGATCTCGGCGGGCTGGGCCAGGCGCAGCAGCATGATGTCGTGGCTGTAGTCCTCGCCCGGGGTGACGGAGGTTTTATTTAGAAGGCTCAGGTTGAACTGGGGGTGTGGGAAGCTGTGTGTGACAGGAACGAACTGGGCCTCGTCTTCATCCTCAAGGAGGTTGTGGCGCCCCAGCCAGACCTGGAAGAAGCTGTGCAGGGGAGGGAGGAGGGGTGAGCAGACAGGACAGGGGCGGTCCCCAGGAGAGGGCCGCCTGCCCCAGCCCCAGGCCAGGGCCCTCCCCCCTCACACACCCCCAACTCTGGACCCCTCCAGCCCCAGAGGACCCCTGGAGAGGTCTGGTCCCGGGGAGGGGCTGGGACATGTAGGCCCCTCACACACATGTTGGGGGTCTCCCTTCTGGATGCCCTCAGACTCCCCGGGGTGGTCCCAGTGGAGCTGGGAGAGGGGTGAGCCCCAGAGAGACGGCGCAGATGGAGGTGACCAGCCAGCACAGCGATGGCAGCGAGGGGCCGAGGTGGCCGGAGACGGGACCCGGAGACGGGGAGACCCGGGAGCCTGAGAGGCGCGCCAGGGCCGGACGCCGGGCCCAGGGCAGCGCCAGAGGGAGGTTCCGGGAGCCAGGGGAGGCAGCCGTGGGGGTGGCGTCCTGCACCCTGACCAGCTCCAGCCTGTGCTCCCAGCCCGCCTCGCCAGGTGGCCGGGAGGCCTGGCCCGCAGGCGGGGGGCACGACCCCTCCCAGCCCTGCCCCCGCCTCAGTACTCACCCACTCATGCAGTGGGCGGCCGTGAGCACCCACCGGGGGTGCACCAGGACTCCCCCACACTCAAAGTTGCTGTAATGGTACAGGGCCACCTGCCAGGGCTGGGAATGCCTGGCACACTCCCGGCCCCCGATGACCCGAGACTGGATGTGGGGCGCCGCACCTGTGGGTGGGGTGCAGGTCAGCGGGACCTCGGGGCCAGAAGAGGGAGCTGTGCTGTAAGGCTGGGGCTGGGGGTGGGGGGGCCCCCCCAGGCCAGGGCTGGGGCCGGGGAGGGGCTTCGGAAGAGCCCAGAATCTGCAGGTGACAGGAGAGGTGACTGACAGAGTGCGAGACCCCTGGACTGGGGGTGGGGGTGCCACACAGGGCAGCCCAGGAGCAGCGTGGGGTGGGTCCAGTAACTGACTTGAGGACTTGAGCGAGGGGGAGGAGCCTGTGGCTTGGAGGGAGAAACACTCTCTGGAAGGGAAAGGCCCCCCCCAGGGCCTCTGAACCAGGGAGCTTTGGGGGGTGGGGCGGCCTCAGTATGGGGGATGAGTGAACGGGGAAGCAGACACAGGCCCACATACTAGGGGGAGTATTTGGGCTGGGAGTTTAACGTGGGGACCCTGGAATCAGCCGGAAGGCAGAGTCTGGCTGGGAGAAGGGAGAATTTGGGGTTCCTGATCAAAGAGTGAAAGAAAGAGGTGTGTGGGAAAGGGGTCCTGGGAGGGTGCTGACTGGAATGGTGTCCAAGGGGGGTGTCCTGGGGCGGGCCGGGGTCCGAGTGGCGTGGGTTCCGGAGGAGGGCGGCCTGGCGGGTCACCGTGACCGGGTGGTCCCCGGGATCCAGGCCCACTTGGGGTCCTCTCGGGAGCAGTCAGACAGGAATGGAGAGGGAGGCGCATCTGCAGCCAAGAAGTCAGGGGTGCAGGGAGCAGCAGCTCCCATGGGGTTGGGAACCTCATGAGGGGGCGGGGAGGTGGGCAGGAGGAGCCAGGGACTTGGGGTCCTGGGGGTGGTGGGGTCCAGTCGCATTCAGGGGAGAGGCTGGAGCTTGAGGGAGGATGGGGGTTCCACCGGGCAGGAGGCTGTGTGCCTGGGGTGCTGGCACTCTGTTGGGGAGAAGCCTGTGGTGCGGCCCAGGAACAGGGACTCTGGGGCAGGGTAAAGTCTGCGCGGGAAGAAGCACAGGTGTTGGGGGGGGGCCGGGCGCCCTGAGCGGGTGGGGCGGCCAGCACGGGTGACTGGGGGGCCGGCGAGAGCTGACACCTGGACGGGAGAGTCCCATGCTGGGGTGTGGTAGGATTTGGGGCTCTGAGACTTGAGGGTAGAGGGCTCAGGGCCCCAGGGGACAAGTGAGACCTCGGAAGTGGTGGGGATCCCCAGAAGGGGGAGAAGGGAGAATTTGGGGTTCCTGATCAAAGAGTGAAAGAAAGAGGTGTGTGGGAAAGGGGTCCTGGGAGGGTGCTGACTGGAATGGTGTCCAAGGGGGGTGTCCTGGGGCGGGCCCAACCCCATGGGAGCTGCTGCTCCCTGCACCCCTGACTTCTTGTCTGCAGATGCGCCTCCCTCTCCATTCCTGTCTGACTGCTCCCGAGAGGACCCCAAGTGGGCCTGGATCCCGGAGCGGGTGGGGCAGGGATGTGAGGGGCTGCTGCCACCGTGGGGTGAGGGCTGTGGGGAGTGTGGGGTGAGGGCTGTGGGGAGTGTGTGGACAGGAGAGGTCCGTGCCCAGGTCAGGAGTGGAGGTGGGAGAGGGGGAGGTGAGGGAAGCAGGGAACGGGGGTCCGCTCCTACCGGCCCCCCGAATCTCACCAGACCCCTCGAGGGCCAGCACCAGGCACAGGACCGGGACCCACATGGTGACGCAGGTGTCCAGGGCGGGCGGGAGCTCGGAGCTGCGGAGCCTCTGTGAGGAGCCTTTAAATTCCTCAGGGCCCTGGGCCCGCCCCTGGCAGCTGGCACCCAGGGGTGCCCAGGCCCAGCCCTGGCAGCTGGGGGAGGGCTTCCCCCTCACCTGTGTCCCGTGGCACGGGAGAGCGAGCACCTGTGTCCTGCAGGCCTGATGGAACTGGAACCTTCCCGGGGACTGAGCCAGGGGCCCGCCTGCAGCTGTGGGGCCTTGCGCTTGGCACAGAGCCAGGAGGGAGGTGGGCGGAGAGAAACCGAGGCCGGCTCACTGACCACCACACCCCGCCCAGCAGCCTGCACCCCAAGGGGCTGTGCCCCTGACCCAGGGGTGCTCAAAAGCCAGCTGGGCAGCCGGGCCCTCCCCCTGCAGTCTGAATCCGGGGCGGCCTCTGCTGCCTTGACCGGGGCCTCAGCCTCAGTCTCGGGTCTGCGCTCCTGGTCTCGCGATCTAGGTCCCTATAATGAGATATTGGTGTATCGCTCACCCCAATTTTAGCCTCCCCGTGTCCAGGAATTTGAAATTCTGGCATATCCCCAGGACATTCCCTGGCATTGCAGAATCCAGTGTCCCCCCAAACCATGTGGGCCTCTCTGAATCTGGTCACTCCTTCCCCACAGAGCTGGGCGCTCGGTGTTAGGCCCTCCGGTGTCCCAAGACCAAAGACTACACTCCCTCCAAGGTCAAGAGCGTTTCCCCCACCTTCCCTTCCCCACACTTAGATATTTGGATTTCAGGAACCAGATTCATGTTTGAAGCTTTCAGTCACTTTGAAAATCACCTTTTTGGTTGTCTGGGGAGAATACTGTACCCTCAGTGGCAAACCCCTTGGCTTCCAACTTATTTTCTTAGCTCGTCTGTAAAGCCAAAGGGGCTTTCAGTGTCCCTTGCCTCTGGTGTGTCAGGAGTCTGCCTAGGGGAGCGAGGGTCTTTGCCGTTTCACCCTGGCTTCCAGGAAGCCCAGAACTAAATCTTGAAGAGCATGAAGCTGTTCTTGGTCGTCTAGTGTGCCGGGGCCTTTTGCTGGAGGTGCCCAGGGCAGGCGCCCTCCAGTCCGGTCATCGGAGTCACATCCTGTAATCCCTCAACAACGTGATATGATGGCCTGGTTCACAGAGGGGACGCCAGGCTGAGTGGCTGAAGAGCTAACGCGTGGCTTTGTGTGCTGGACGAACAGGGCCTTGCCTCAGGCCTTCTCTGCTTACCTAGGGACCAGGACACGGTCACAGGAACGTGTCCAGCCCCGACTTCCATTTCATCCCCAGAAAAATCCACAGACACTCCTAGAGAGAAGTTTACATCAGAGCCCTCTGTTGTCTTAGGGTGAACAGGTGAGCTGAACATCAAGGCCTTGGCCACACTGGGCTTTGGATGGCGCAGTTCTGTCTGGACGATGACGGGGTGCTGGCCGCGGCAGGGCTTCTGCTCAAGGACGGGTTGTGGGGGGCGGTCAGTTCCTCCTCATGGTTTCCTTGATCCACTCCAAGTAGTGACAGACCTTGGTGTAGACGCCGGGCTTCGTGGTCGTGTCGCAGGGGACGTCACCCCAAGACACGATGCCCTGCAGGATGCCCCCACAGACCAGGGGTCCTCCGGAGTCACCCTGTGGGGAAAGGGGAGCATGAGAGAACTTTCTGGATCCTGTGCCCCAGCCTCTGCCTCGCCGGTCACAGCCTCATCAAAAACCAGTGGAGTCAGCGTAACCTATGAGCCCACCCGACAACGCAACTCACCCTGCTGTCTGACGCCTCCACCAAGCCCCCCACGGCTCCCCCCAGCCCTCCCCACTCCCAGCACCTCACCAGTCAAGTTGTCGGTCTTCTGAGCAACATTCTGGGGCGCCCCCAACCCCCGCCGCCATAGTGCTCCCCCAGCACCCAGCCGCGCTGACATTCCGAGTGGCAACCCCACCCCAGGTCACCCCCACCGCACCAGGCGGCTCCCCCAGACCTCTGCGCCTCCCCTCCCCCGCGCGCCAGCCTGCCCCGCGCTCACCTCGCAGGAGTCAGTGCCGCCTCCCTTCACGCCGGCGCACACCATGGTTTCCATCAGGTGCCCGGGGTAGTCCTTGCTGCACGACGCGTCCGAGATCACGCTGATGTTGGCGCAGTGCAGCGTGTCCGGCAGGCTCACTGCGGGGACAGCGGGCTCGCAGGGGTCCACCGCCCAGCCCCGCGCCCGCCCGGCGCCGTCGGGGAGGGCCCGGGCCTGGCAGGCCGCGCGGCCCCTCACGCACCTTGGGAGCCGGGGCCTCCCGGGACGCGGGGCCTGTTGGTGGACACCAGGCCCCAGCCGGACACCACGCACGTCTCTCCGGGCCGCGGGCACTTGGTGGGCAGCGTGATGGGGCGCACTTGCGGGGAGAGGCGCACCTCCCGGCTCAGCTGCAGCAGCATGAGGTCGTTGTTGTGGCTGCGGGCTCTGTAGTCGGGGTGCGGGAAGGCGCGGGAGACCGTCCGCAGCTGCTCGGCGCCCTCGTACCTGCGGAGATTGTGCTCTCCGAGGCGCACGCTCATGAAGCTGCCCGGGGGGGCGCGGGTGCAGAGAGACCAGGTCAGAGAGCGGCAGGGCAGCCGGGGTGTCCCTTCCCCTCGAGGACCCGCGTGCGTCCGTCACCAGCCCCCCCAGCCCCCCAGCCCCGCCTCCGAGGCCCTGCGTCCGGTGCAAGCGTCCGGTGCAAGCGCCCGGACCGCACCCCAAGCTTCCTCCGCGCCTCAGACCCCGCCCCCGTCGGCCGGCACCCCCGGGCGCGCCCCCCTACCGGGTCTGGCAGTGCGCGGCCGACAGCACCCAGCGCGGGGAGATGAGCGAAGCGCCGCAGTTGAAGCGACCCCGCTCGAAGACAGCCGCCTGCCAGGGCTGCGAGTGCGGCTCACACTCCTCGCCGCGCATCACCTTGTCGCCGTCGCTCTGGCTCTGGGCGGCTGAGACGCGACAGCGGGCCCCTGAGGACAGAGCCGCCAGCCCCCCCAAAGTAGCTGCTGTTTGATTACACTTTATTTGTTTATTTTAATGAAGACGTATTCTTTCATAGAAGGAATGGTGTTTGGTCACGTTAGGCATTTTATCGTGATTTTGCTTTTTTATCAGGTGTTGTTTATGTAGACTTCCTGCTGTTGGCTTCCAGTGTCTGCCCTGTCCCGATCTTAGACCGGGGGAGGCTGGTCAGAGCCAGCCCCTGGCCCCCAGGTCCCAGGGACGGGACAGCGGCCACACGCAGGCAGATGGCCCCTTGGAAGCTCAAGGTCACCGGCCTGTCAGGCGTCAGAGCCCGTGACAGAGGCTTGGCGCCAGCGTCCGGCGCCTCAGCCAAGAGCGCAACGTGCCCTCCAGGGACACAGGCGTGGCCCCACAAGGTCACACGGATGCTCCTCCGTGCACTTCAGGGACAGCGCTTCAGGCGGAAGTCACCCTCTGGGCACCCCCAGACGCACCCGCGTGTGAGCCACACATGTTGGACAGAGTCCAGAGCCCAGTGTCCAGTCTCCAGGGGCGTCTGGACACACACAGGGCCTGGATGCGGGAGGCGGGGCCTCCCTGGGGGCCGTCGGCACGCCCGTGGCACAGCGGCCGGACTCCGGGCGGTAAGCGGTGCCCAGACGTGATACCTGTGTGCTGTGAGCAAGGGCTTGACTTCCCTGGCCTCTGCCCCTCTGGTGTGAGACTGAGCGGGGGCTTGCGTGTGCGAGCGTGTGAGGCAGTGTGGTAGCGGCGCTCTAGCGGCCTGTAGGCGCCGTCGCCTCAAACACGGGCATGGGATGTCCTCACGCAGCCAGTCCTGACGCCCGTGGACGTTCAGGCACTGACGGCGGCTACAGCTGAAGTCACTCGGGCCGATTTGCAGACCCCAAAAGCCTCCGCCAGGGAGGAGCGGTGATACGTCCCCAAGCTGCTGTGTGGACACTCTGAGCTGTGGACACTCCATGGAGGACAGACTAGGCCACATCTGGGCGGCCAGCGCCGGACCGGGGCCGGGCGTTCAAGGTCAGAGACGCGCGGGAGACCGGGGGGATGAGTCCACCCGCCGCCAGACCGGGGCCAGGTCAGCTCCTCGGGGCTCAAGGCCAGCGGGGGGCCTCCTTGCCAAGTGGACAGGAGATGGACACACACACGCAGACAAGCACACACAGCTGTGCCACCCACAAGGAGAAGCGGGGACGCCTGAATGTCACACAGCACTGGCCACGTGGGGACGGTGTCCCCACCGGGTCCTGGCGGCCTCTCGGGCGGGATCCGCTCTGCAGACCGAAAGCTCACACCCTGCCCAGAGGCCTGGACTGGGCACGGGCCTGGTGGGGGCCAGGGAGGGCGGGTGGCCAAGGCTTTGACCAGGAAATGCAGGTCATGCGTGGAGAAGGACACAGGGTGTCAGCTGGGCAGCAGGCCACAGAGGCTGCCCGGGCCAGCCCGAGCCAGAGGAGGCGGCAGGGGGCGGAGAGGGCACCGGGAGGGCCTCGGGGAGGCTGGCAGCGGGGCGGGGGGCGCCCGGGGACTCCGGGGTGAAGGTCGCGCGGGCAGTGAGTGAACACACAGGCTCCCCGCTCGGGGCAGACAGCAGGGCACAGCACTCACTTCTCCATGGGTGGAGGCTGAATAGGGGTCCCCTTGACCCGGGAGCCGCCTGGCACGCGGTCAGAGGGCCGGGGGAGCCCCCGCAGATGGCCGGCATGGACCAAGCCCTCGGCCATGGTCCCGCATCCGGCCGGGGCCCTTCCCGGCCCCAGGCCCACTCCCAGACCCCACTTAGCCCTCACAACCCCATGGGGGAGAGTCCGTGTCCCCGAAACACAGGCGGGAACCCGGCCCGAGGCGTTGTGAGGCTCCTCAGCCACTGGCATTCTAACGTGAGCCAGGCCCGCCAACACCCCTGAAACCTGGTCGGTAGAGGAGGCCCAGAGAGGCCGGGTCACCTCCTCAAGGTCACACAGCAGGCAGGGCTGGCCCCAGAGCCCAGACTCAGCTCTGTGTTAAGCCAGGGCCAAGTTAGTCTTGGGGGCCGCCGAGACCCCAGGTGGCATGGCGGCTGAGGTGGGGGCAAAGGGCCAGCAGGAGGCCAGATGCAGGCCTGGGGTGCTGCAGGCCGGGGTGCCTCCCTCCTCCTTTCGGGTGTCCTGCCCTGGGGCCCGCTCACCTGCAGCCGTCAGCAAGAGGGAGAAGGTGAGCAGGAGCCACATTGTGGAGGGACCAGGACTCTGATGACGTCTGCGGAGGAGACACCAGTGAGGCTGGACCCTCCTGCCCGCCCAGGCCCCCGGGACACCGCACCCCACCTGGCCTCAGGCTCCCCCCCGTCCCCATGGCCCGAGGGTGGGCCTGGCGGATGCCAGCTGAGGCGTGGGTCTCCCTCCCCTGCACAGCCCTGGCTTAGCCCCCTGGGCCCCCTTCAGCCCCCGTCTGACCTCATGGGTCCTCCCCCTCCTGTCTGCCCCACGGGGCTTCCTGCACCCGAGTTGACGCATTCCCTCCCACTCAGAGCCCTCAGGGACCCGAGTGCTGCAGGCTGAGGCCCAGCGCCAGCCGCAAGGATCTGGAGCTCCCCTGCCTGCCGTCTGGCCCAGTCCTGCATGACCTTCTCGACCTCCGCCTCTGCTCCGCCCTTCGGGGTCCCTGGCATCCCCAGAACTTTCCTGACATTCCCCATCAGTGTTCTGTCCCTCCCCCCTCCCAGAGCGAGGCCTCTTTGGTGGGGGGGCCACTGGCCTGGCTGGCTCCCTGGTGGGGTCAGGTCCCCCGAGGCCCCAGCAAGCCCTGGGGATGAATCCAGGCCCTTTTCCTGCTTGTCCAGGTTTATATCTGTCTTGAGATCGTCGGAGTTTATAGCTGCCCTCTGAGGCCCAGTGCCCACCTCTCCTGGGGGCCCCCAGTGCCGTTCTGCTCCATCAGAGCACAGTCCCCCAGGAGTGCGCCCCTGCACAGGCAGGGGAGAGGTGTGGCTGATGTGAGCCTTGATAACTGGGGTGCTGCTCTGGGCTGCGGGCAGGGGCTGTCTGGGACCTCCTCCCGGGTCCCTCCCGGCCCCCCACTCACCTATCCAGCTCCTTCTGGCACCTGCATTTTCTTGGCTCAGGTGTGGACCTCAGTTAGGGACACGTGAACCCTTGTAGGTGCCATTGGCCCCGACACCGGCAATCCCCCGTCTGCTTCCGGCCGAGGCAGCGCTTGCGCCCCCTCCCCCCCCCACTCCTGTCTCAGACAGCTTACCCCCTCCAGATCCTCCGGCAGCATCTGGGACAGTTGGGTGCCAGGCGAAGGGTGGCAGGCGCCCGGGCGCCTGAATTTATAAGCTCCAGCTCCACCCAGGTCTGGGGTACAGGTTGGGGTGGGGTGAGACGTGGCTGGACTTGGGTTTACAGGCTGGACGCCTAGGCGGCTGGGGGGGCGGAGGGCAGTGCATAATGGGCATTTATTAGGGTGAAGTTTTTGTCTGAGTCTACAAGGAGGAATTCCCTACCGGGGGCAGCTCCTGGCGGGGAGGAGGAGAGAGCCAGAGTCGGAAGTCAGAGCCAGAGCTGGTGCCGTAACCTAGAATTTGGGCAGAAGCTGGATGCTAGGACCAAGGCTCGGTTCTGGACAGAATTCTGGACCTGGGCCTGAGCACCTGGTTCTGGGTCCACAATTTTAGATTCTGGGTCACGGATCTCCGACTCTGGGTCTCTGGTCTGGACCTTGGGTCTGACCCTCGTTTCGAATCCAGAGCCCAGGGCCTGGCTCTTAGATTCTGGATGCTCAGCTCTGGATCGCCAGCTCTGGCGGTCTGGAGTTGCGTGTCTGATCTGATGTTCACAGTGCAGATGTTGGAGTCTTGATCCTGGAGTTTGGATGGGAACCCGGGCCCTGGTCTTTGAGTGACAGACGGGCCTCGCTCTCTAGACCTAGACTTAAGTACCTCTGCACCTCAAGTCCAGACTAGGAGTCTGGAGCCAGGGACCTGGAATCTAAGACCTGAGGTTGGAAGCCTGGGCGCTGAGTACAAATCACTCCAGGGCCTGCATCACGGGCTGACTGGAGTTTCAGCTCTGCCTTGTGCATTTATGAGACCGGACTGAAGACATGAACCTGGTTTTCATGATCCTCACACTTCTAGACTCTTGACTGTAGGTATGAATTCAGCGATGGGGGGCTGGAGTCTTCTGGTTCTTGCAGTCTTGGTTCTGCATCCTGAGGCTTGAAATCTGGATTCTGTTTTCTGGAAGCTGGAGCTCATCTCTGAGATGACCCAAGGCTTTGGGAATTCGATGAGAACCATGGAGGGCAATTGTCTGGAGTCTGTCCTGACTTGTTTAATTAACGAGGAGACGGGGCAGGCGGGAATGACCCCGTGTGACCCAGTGGCGCTTGGGAGTTCTCCTTGTCTGGGAAGCCGCCACCTTTCTGGAAAGCGCCTGCCCGGTGTGTGGAAACCAGGGACCACGCACCATATTCCCTGACTCCCGGCTCCCTGCAGATACCACGCAGGAGAACAGTGGCATCCAGGTCCCCAAATGCCTCGCAGACTTTCCAGAACCACTGACCCTCAGTCATTCTAGACCCCGGGCTCTCTGTCGTTCCTGAACCACAGGCCCTCGCAGAGGGGAGGCCCGAGCCGCCTGGCTGCAAGACGACCAGGCTACCGACCCTAGAACCCCAGGACAGAGACATTCTGGAACCCTAGGTCTTCAGACAGCGGAAAGCCAAGATTTCCAAACAGCGTGGTCCGCGGACCTGCACACATCCTGGAACCGTGGGTCTCCAGATGCCCCTCGACTTTCAGACCTTCTAGACCTCCCGGGAGCTGTGCCCGAAGCCCTCGCCCCTTGGTCCCGCCGCGAGTGTTCGCGCCGTCTCCGGGCCTGGCGGTGGACCCGCCGCTTCCGGCCGCAGCCCGTGTTTATGGGGTGCTGGCTACAGGCCACAGGCCGTGCTGCGTGCTGGCTTTGTGTGGCTCCATTTACTGCGTGTGTCACTTAATGACGGGGTACCTGTGGGGAAATGCGTCGCCGGCCATTTTTTCGCCGCCAGTGTCGCAGAGCGTAATACTCCACCCGCTGCTGCACCCGGCACACACTGGGCCGGACGGCACAGCCCCGGGGGTGGGGCGGTGGTGCCCCCGGGTCGGAGGCCCCAAGAGGGGTGTCCGGGCGCAGGGCGCTCATGGGCCCGGGGAGTCCAGTGCTCTGCCGGGGGACCCACAGGGGGTCCGGCTGTTGGACCCCCTGGGGTGACGCCTTGGGGTTGAGGCGTCGGGAAGCTCTCGCGGCGTCCAGCTCCCAACCCTGCACGGAGCGCGTGAGACTCCCTGGGACACAGATGGGGCTCCCCGGGCGTCTTCCCAGGTTCCCTGCACCTCCAGTTCAGCTGCGGCTCCTCTTGTGGGACCCTGGGCCTTTCACCCACTCAGGGGGCTCAATCCTGGCCCTGACAGCGGCTGTGGGGTGGGGGGGCAGGAGCGACCCCAGAGGCCCGACTCTCCTCTCTCCCCTACGCCCTCCTTTGCTTCCCACGCCAGCGACAGGCCACCAGGCCCTCCACCCCGGCCTCCCTCTGTGGCCCCCTCTCTCCCCTTGTCCCCCTGCAGCTCGGGGCTCACCTCTGAGCCTGGGCTCTTTCTTAAAACTGGAAAATAGAGGCCGCCTTTCTGGAGTCTTGCAAGGAGTGACTTAAGCGCCCCGCCCTGAGGAGATAAGAGCCACAGTAAACAGTTTCCACCCATTTTACTCAGGGGAGCAGGGGCCCAGGGCCCAGTCTGATGTCCAAGGTCAGCCACACCGGGAAGGAGGAGGGGGCTGGGGTGGGAAGGAGGGTGCCTGCAGGGCAAGAGAAGGGTCCTGGGATCTTACCAGCTCTTGGGTGCGAAGTCTCAGTCCCCAGGAGTGGGGGGTTCACTGCTCACCTGTGACGGTGTCTGGGGGGGGGCAGGGTTGGAGGGAATGGGGTGGCGATGGGGGCAGGGGGCTTGGGCGGGGTACACAGCCCGGTTCAGGGGTGTAAATCACACTTGAGGCTGCTGCTGGAAAGCGGGTTAAGGGGAGGGTGAGTTCCCCCTCGGGCTGCCCAGCCACAGGCCGAGTTCGAATCTGGCCCCCGCCGGCTCCTGGAGCCGGTCACGTGGTGTCCCGGCCGCCGTGGCCTCCTGGGCAAAGTGGGGATACCAGCGGGTTCAGCCTGGGTGGCTCACGCCCAGCCTGGCTCTTCCCGGTGCGGGTCACCCTGGGCTGCCGTTCTTGCCCAGACCTGGCACCGACCTGGCCCGCAGGCTTCTCAGATGACGGGCGCTGGCACGAGGAGCTGAGGCGGGGCCTCGCCTCTCTGGGTGGCGTTTCTGTGACACCCCTTAGCATCTGGAGTGGCGAACCGGGGGGAGACCCCGCGGAGCCCATTTTCCTCCTCGGCTTTAATTCTTAAACAAAGCTGGCCCTGCTTGGTGGAGCAGTGGATTAAAGCCAGCACGGCGAGCGAGCCGCAGCCCCTCAGCGCGGGTTCGATCCCCGCCCGGAGGTGACCCACAGACGCCGGGAGGTGTCTCCCCGCTGCTCCCCTCAGCAGTGTACTTCTTCTATCTGCCTGTTCTGCTCCCCGCTGTCTCTGGTGAAACCTCTCACTGCCCCTGCCCCTCTGGCCTGTACCCCAGTTCTGTATGCAGAAATATATAATTTTTTTAAAGCACATATGTATTTATCTATCAGCGGTAACACTGGCTTGCTGAATGCAG